GACTAGCAGGAAGTGCTAGCAGGAAGGTTACACTAATGCACAAATGCATTGTGCTCATGTGCTAGAACAAGTTTTATTTTGCTTTAAATCTGCTTAATACACCCAAGTTATCCCATTCTTTTGGAGGAATTGCAGGGCATCATTAGGATATGGCTATGCAGATAAACTCATATATTTGTTATATGCAAGCATACAGCTGAATCTATTTGGATGCAGATTTTTCTAGAAAGGTGTCTTTTAACCTTTCCTTCTAAGTTAATTTCTCATGCAATTTATGCTTGCACTGCTATGACTGTTTCTTTTCTAGGATTTATTTTCTTCTGATCATCTCTGTGCCACTCAGATTTTTCTCTTAGTTCATTACACTCCTGCCCTTTCTTTGTTCCTTCCATTTGGGATCCTGCAAGCTCCTGGTGTTTTTCTCGTATTTCATTTATACTTTTAGGGTAACATTTTTATAGGTCCCACTTGTGCTAGTTAGAGTGATGGTGGCTTGGATGCCCAAATGTTCCCTTTTCTGAAGAGAGTAGTTGGAGCTTACTCCCTGACCACTGCAGCTCTTCAGCAAGGAATGAGGGTGGAGATCATTCAGAGCCTTTTCCAGGCTGTTTTGAATATTGGGATGGCTGGGCCTGAGATCAGATTTACACTGCTTGCTCTCAGGCTTTCCATTTGGGTAACAGCCTGTGGATGAATGAGTCATACCTCTCTCCTCATAAACACTAACAACCACAGATTAAGTGACTGAGGAGAAAGCTGTCCTGTGATGAGAGAGGAAAAGAATGCTTGGCATTTCATTAACAAATGCTGCCAAAACTGACTATATTCAGCCTTTCCCTTAATGCACTATCAGTTTACTTTCCTGGGCAACCATGTTGAAAAGTCCAGTGCAAAAAGGGATGGAGTTTTTCACCGTTTCGTCTTCTACAGAAGCTCACAATTAGTAGGACTGAAAGAAATTCAGTTCAGATTCATGAGTTGTAACTTTGATGTCAGTTGAGTCCTCTGCTGTTTCTATCTGAGTAGACAGCATGAGTGCAGAAAAGTGCCTTGTTTTCAGATAATTCTCCTGCTCCACACAGCCAAATATTGTCTGGGTCTTTCTGGGTGTCTGGACACGGCTGGGCACACCTTGTGTGTCTGTGTCATGGGTTACTCCGTGGTGTTCTTGCTGGTTTATCTTGCTTTTGTGCCCTGAAGAGGGATTTTCATCAGAATTTTCCTAGCTTGTTACAGAGATTTAGTGGTTAAAAAAAAAAAAAAAAAGAAAAATGAAGTGAACAAAATATCTACTAACTCCTTTTTCTTGACCTCTGGGTAACGAAAAATGAAAAGTGTCACTTTTCCTGCATTTTTCTGGACACTTAGTAATAGATCCTGACATGCTGCATACTTTAGGGAGGTGTCTGAACTAGAGGGCAAACAAGGTTGCTAATTGCTTACAGTCTGGGTAATGTGCAAGAATATAAATCCATAAAGGCTTTGGGAAGAGTTGAAACTGTTGCTTGGGAAGACATCATACTGCAATTCAATGCAAAGGACTCCAGGGAACTCTATGCTCCTCCCTATTTGCTGTTTTCTCAATGTTGTGTATTGAACAGTGCACAGAGAGCTTAACACAGGGCTCCTGCTGACAGAGAGAGAGAAAGCCAGAAAGAAACACTTAAAGGATTCCTGCAGTGGAAGAAAGCTGTGATTAAAACACTTCATAACTCAGCTTGCTCTAGAGCTTTTCCCACAGCCCACGATTCCCAAGGGCATTTCTCTCGAAAGTCAACAGTTCTGCTAAGCAGCTTTTTGTCTCAGGGCACTGTTCCCACCGTGTCTGCCACCTCTTCCTGGAGATGCTGAGCGTGGCTCTGGGCTGCTGCACGTCCTGTTCCTTCGGAGAGCCTGGAAGGCACATGGCTGGCAATGCAGGCCAGTTTACCAGTGGGGCAGGTATTCTCCTTGAGCTGGAGGAGACCTTGGCCGTGTAGTTGTTTCCTGATGAACCTCTTCATCACCCCAAACCCGTGAGGTGCTGTCACCTGCTTGTGTGTCCTGGAGATTTGAATGGTGCTGAAACTGGGATGAAACCAGTGACCTGGTGACCACATTGGATGTCATTATGGGTCAAGCCCAGAAACTGAGAATGGAGCGAGTATGAGGAGGAAGAAGGTTGTCTAGGAGGTGGTGTGGTGGCCAGCCACGCTGCCAGTGCAGCCCAGACACGATGGGATCACCTGGGCCTGGCTCACAGCCACGCCAGGGCGTGCCCGAGTTTCAGGTGCGTTGTGAAGTTTCTGCAGCATTTAGCAAGGCAAGATCTGATGTAGCTGAGTGTTTGCAAGTTTAGTTTCGGTGCTTGAAATGCAGGAGACAAATGAATTTCGCTCCCACCCACAGGAATGAGAGCCTGTTAGTCCAGCGAGGTAGAGGAGGCATCCGGCTGCCTCAGATGGAGAACAACACTTTTGGGAAACTACCTGTGGTGAGAGCAGAGGCAGCCCCACAGCCAGCCTGCTTGGCTCTATGGAGCAGTCCCATGGAGCAAGCAGTGCAGCACTTTGATTGCTGTTGGAAACACTGAACTCCTAGACAGGAAAAGAATGAGGAGCTCTACTCTCTCTCCCAAGCCTAGAGCTTACCCTGATCCCTTTTAGACCCGGTGCAAACAGGTTTGTAGAACTGAAGCAGCCAGTTGTTTATGCTCTGTACCAGCCCTACCTGGCTCTTAGCTTTGCACATATCATTTGTGGTGATGTAACTGGTGTCAGATTTGAGGCATGGCTGCGTTCCAAGAGGGATCCACGTTGCCAGGTGGAAATTTCTGCTCAACCGTATAAGTTGCATCAAGGAAGACATGGAAAAACTCAGTGAGATCTGAGCTATAAGTCATGCCTTCCATTAGCAACTTGGCCACGTTGAGGCATCATGTTTGAAGTGCCTCAGGTTGGCTGTTCCTATGTTTTTTATTGAGAAACAATTTGAAGCTGGTGGGGCAATGAAAAGGAGTTACCTTTTTTTTTTTTTTTTTTATAAGCAGAAGCCAAAAATTCATGGGAAAAACCCATGTAGGAAGCAGAGGAGCTCCCAAGTGATGTGAAGGTAACTCAGCCTATTTTATTGAATAGGTAAATAAACACACCCTGAGAGCTAGTCCAAAACATTCATTAAAACAGATCCTGTGCTTCTTCAACAGCATATTTCTTAAGAAAGAGAAAGGCACTGACAGTAAAAGGCTTTGTTCAGAACATGCCCACTCCTGTGCCTCACAATTTGCAATTCCCCCATTGTTTTAATGTTCTTGATTAATTTTTACTTTTAAGAAGCTTTTCCACAAGGGAGAGCCTAAAACCTAGGTCAAGCTGTTCCTATAGTGGTACTGGCCTGAGATTGGAGCTTCTGCCCTGCAGAGAAAACGTGATTTGGCTCTCCAGGAGTATTTCGCTCTCTTTGAAAGTTTTTACCTAGAGCAAGAAAATTGGTTTGAATCTTCCTTTCCTGCCCATCAATTAACTTCAGGCTGCTTTGAAACATGGAAACACAGTATGGCAGGGATAGTTGTCCGTGTGTCCAAGAGCTGGGCTCACCTCAGGGTCTGGCTCTTGGCAGCAGTGGGACTGCCGTGCTCTGTGTCCTGGCACAAACAGCTGGAACAATCCCTTTGGTTGGGAGCAGAGTGGGGAATCTGCCAGTTTGGTTTGCCAGCAGTCTGTGCTTGGCTGCCTCATTTCTGAAAGGAACTTAAGGCAGAATGGTCTGTGTTACTGACAGCCTCAGCTTGGGTTTATTTGGCAGTAAAATATTTGCCAGGCTTATCTGTGTCTAGTGTTTAGAGATTCTAACTTTATCTTTTTATTATTAAGTGTCCATGAAATAGAACTAGGCCCTTTTCTCCTTTATTTCTTTTAAACAAAAATCCTTATTACCTGGGTTTTTTTGTAGTTGTTTTGACTAAAGTTAATCGTGAAGGTGAGGTGACCTTTCTTATCAGAATTTCAGATTTTGGGGGAGTGATGGTTTCTGTTTGGGGATGTCTTGTTCCCCACAACTCAAACATAGAAATTGTTGATGTAGATCTTTGAGGCACAGTACAACTTATGACTGGAGCTCCTCTGAGGTAACAAATCCCATCCTGATTTGATGGGCAAGGAAATGAGGTGAACCTCAATGGAATTTAAAAATAAAAAAAGGATGGAGCTTTCTGACATTCCCAGTCATATGGGGTTATTTTTCAGGCCTTGCTGCTTCAGACATCCTTGGTTACCCTCATCATGCAGGCTTGTTTGGGGCAAGACAGAAATAAGAGATGTAGTTGTAGAAAAGACTGGTATCTGCTTAACAACTGTTACAGTCACAGAACTAACATCTATCAGAAAAACTTGGGATTCAATTTAAAGCGAATTTAGTGGAATTCTGGGCATATTTGTGCTCTCGTGCAATAGGATCGATGTACCACGTGGGGGCAATAAGGGATTGTCTGTGCCTGAGCTTTTACCTGTGGATGAAACCGCAGGAGACACGGTTGTCAGATTTTGCCTGCCCTTTTGTTCCAGTGTCGTGGCTCAGCAGCTGTTTTTCTCTGCAACATGTAGCTTGTCTACACTCTTGATTTTTGTGCTGTGGCTTCAGAAGTGCTGCTGGCTACAGGCTGAACCTTCTGGGTAGGGAGGACGTGTTTGGACAAGTTCACAAATCAGAATGAGAGAAGCTGCTGAGCGAGTGTGTCTCTGTGTGCACAGGTATGAGCACATGCTGTGCTTAATTGACTTGTTCTAATTGCCACTTTCACCATGAGAGCCAAGCTGAAATACAGATGCAATTCTGAAAGTCAAAGTAGATGATTGCAAAAAGGGATTGCAGCCTCTCGGGTTTTTTTCTGTTAGCAGAGGTTTTTCCTGTACACAAGTGACCAGGCCTGTTCTAAAGAATTGGTTAATATTGAGAGTTTAATCCTAGGTCACAGGCTGAGGCTGGTGGACTTTGCACTTTGTAAAGGCCAATCTAATTGGTAGCTGCAATGTGTGTAGATGGGCTCCTGAAAAATACCCCAAAGGGGAGCAATCTGAGAAGTCCAAAGACTTCCTTCTCTGAGAATTGCTAGAGCACGATTGTTGGGGGACAGTAGTATTTAAGATTGGAAGTGGAAAATTCCCCCCACAGAGTCTACAAATATCAGTAGCATGAAAATCAGTTTCTCAAGTTGGTTTAGCAAGGTACTGTTACTGCTGAGTGCCTTTGCCATTCCATCTCTGCCAGTAGAACAAGATGCATTCTACCCATTTTTGAAGTTTCTGCACTCGTTGCTGTGGAAGAACAGTATTTCTCCTGTCCCTGCAGGTCAATTTTAACAGTGAGAGAGTAATTCTGGCAATGTGCAGGTATGGCTGTGTTGTTCATTCTTTGTGCTGATCATGGAGCGGGTCCAGAGAAGAGCAACGAGGCTGGTGAAGGGACTGGAGCACAAGTCCTGTGAGGAGAGGCTGAGGGAGCTGGGGTTGTTTAGTCTGGAGAAGAGAAGGCTTAGAGGCGACCTCATCACTCTCTTCAACTACCTGAAGGGAGGTTATAGCCAGGTGGGGGTTGGTCTCTTCTCCCAGGCAACCAACAATAGGACAAGGGGACATGGGCTCAAGCTCTGCCAGGGGAGGTTTAGGTTGGATGTTAGGAAGAAATTCTTTACAGAGAGGGTTATCAGGCATTGGAACGGCCTACCCAGAGAGGTGGTGGATTCACCATCCCTGGAGGTTTTTAAAAAGAGATTGGATGTGGCCCTTAGTGCCATGATATAGTAATTGGAGTTGGATCAGGGGTTGGACTTGATGATCTTGGAGGTCTTTTCCAACCCAATCTATTCTATGATTCTGTGTGGATCATATCTCCCGTCATCCAGCAATTCCTGTTCACCTTGACTTGAATATTTTGCCATTTGCTAATGACAGTTGACCATTGATCAAATTCACTCTTTTCATGTTTTTCTACCATCTAGGGTACTAGTGGGCTGTGAGTACAGAACAACACCACACTTTAGTCACTCAAATTGGCTTGGTTTGTTATTTCAGAAAGGATCTGGTGCTCTTTGTCACTGTTGGTAGAGAACTTCTTAATCAGTGATGAGACAGGTTGAGGGATGATTTATTGATCCATATAGACTGGTCTCTACTGAGATATCTAAGGTGACGTGGAAGGCAATCCAGAAAATGGTTCGGTGAGATGAGACAACTAGTCTCTGTCTGGTTCTGCTGCACAGACCATTACAGACTGCAAAGTACTTTGCTGAACTCTTCGGGGCTGAAACACTTCCAGACCAGGAATATGGCCAGGGTGGTCACTAATTGTCATGACAGTCCATCTAAGATGTGAACACAGTGGTGGAAATGCGGGTTTTTCCTTTAGTGGACCTCTGAGGTGCTCTGCAGCTGGTGGTGTGACACCAGGTCCTCAAAAGTGATGGAAGAAAGAGTGATCCCGTGGAGAAAGCTCTCAGCCCTTGCAGTTAGGCCTTAGTGACACTGTGCTTAGGCTTAGGTTAACCATGTCTAAAGCAAATTGTTGAATATCTCCAGGTGGTAATGGGTGGGAGAATTGTTGTACAAGGCACTGGCCCAAACCAAAGTAGGACAATGGCAGTGAACTGTGGCAGTCAAAGCTCTGTGAACTGCCCCAGAAGGGATTCTGGTGCTTTCAGTGACCTACCTGTAATGAAATCCATACCAATCCATCTTTCCATCTTCATCCTTGGCATGCCCACATGTGTTGCCATTGCAAAGTCCCAGTACAACACACTAGAGAAGTGAACCAGTGGTGTGTGGCCCAGTTAGTCTGGCATACAAGGTATAAAATGCTGGCTTAAATGATTGTAACTATTTCCACTCTCGACTGTGCCAACCCGCTGCTGTAGACAGAAGGGGAGACACAATGTAAGCTTTTGAAACTGCTTGCCTTGCTGTTATGAGATAGGAGAGCTCTGAGAGACAGAGCTTTGTAGTGTGTATTTGGAAAATATATGCTGACAAAATCAGCAATAGGTGTAATTTTTCAGCCTGCAGAGTTTCTCTTTGCCACGGTGAAGGATCTGAAAGATCTGAAAGGCTTCTGAAAGAAGCTTTTCCAGGTGCTGTTTTTCTTGGTTGATAAGAAGTCTGCTTTGAAGGACTTCCTCCATCCTCATCCAGAGGATGATTAAAGAAAGAGATGACATCATGGTACAGTATAAGGGCAATTCTAATTGTCCCTCTCAGGCCAAGAGGAGAATATGGTGTAGATTATCTGTTATACTAGTTCAGTGAGTGAGTTACAGCTTGTTATCAGTTTCTTTCTCACAGAGAGAAAGCTGTACTTTGTTCTGACACTGCATCCTTCCAACAGCAACAGCTGGCTTTCATGTGTGATGAAATTCTTCTTCTTCTAGCTTTGTTCTCTAAACTTTTCCTCCTCCTGCTGTAAAGGCTTCAAACACTGCCTGGATGGTTGGAAAGTTTGACTTCATGTGTGTTACGGAAACTCAGAGGTCTTTGTGGGTAACCATGAACAACACACTGCTGAGTCTGGGTATAGTGGGTCAGATAACCATCCACTCCCTCTTTTAAGTTTCAAAATCACACCTCAAGCATGGTTTTTATTAGAGTTGATGAGGATTTATTAAATGATTGAGTGTGTAGAACAGAGGTTCAGCCTGATAAGGCACTTCCTATTTGTACTGTGTTTGCTTGGGAGTAGGAATTGCAGAGGGTAGAGCTGTCATCTTCTAGACTGGAAAACTGGAGTCTTGTCCCTTCCCCTGCCTGTGGTGGCAGGTGATGCCATATGTCTCTTTGCAGCCTGGTTCTAAGTGTGTGGGTAGAAGTGTGAAAATGGATGGTGACTCCTCTAATATAATATATATATTATATAAGGAAAGGCTGGGAAATTGGGATTGTTCAGCCTGGAGGAGAGAAGGTTTTGGGGAGACCTTTCAGTACCTGAAGGGGCTCCAAGAGATCTATGGAGGGACTTGGTACATGGGCCTGGAGTGACAGGACAAGGGGGAATGGCTTCCCTGGGAGGGTGGGGAGGCCCTGGCACAGGTTGCCCGGAGAAGCTGTGGCTGCCACATCCCTGGGAATCTTCAAGGCCATGTTGGACAGGGCCTGGAGCAACCTGGGATAATGGAAGGTGTCCCTGCCCATGGCAGTATGTTGGAACGAGATGGTGTTTTAGGCCCCTTCCAACCCAAAACATTCTGTGATTCTATGACATGATGGAAAACAATTTTTTTGCCTGTGTGGGTAGAAAGGCCAGAAATGAGCTGAGTGTAAGACAGAGGTGCTGGGGATGTGGACACTTAAACGTGCTGAACCTTTGCACCTTTTCCTTACTGGGTTGTTTCAGGATAGTAAATTACTTGTGTTTTGGGTGAGGAGTGAAAGTCTGGACTAAAGAATGAAGCATAAAAAGGAGTAGCAGGGTGTTGATGCTTCTAAAGGCTCTGCCATATCTGTAATTATTGCTTCCTCTACCTGAGCTTGGTCATATGTGGCTTTTAAAGTGATCACATCAGATTTATTCTCAGGCTTAGCAGCAGCTGCTTTTTTTCCACAAGAAAACTTTAGTGCTCTTTTTAGATGTTAAAGCAAGTGATTGAAATGAAGATGACTCTGAAGTGTCGGCACTTGGAAGGACTCGAAACTGTATTAGCACTTAAGCTGCAAATAAACCTGCCTGCTTGGTTTCCATTGCCTGTGGAAGAGCCAAGCAAATGGCAGGCAAATAGAACACCTGAGAAAGCTGTAATGAAAGCACTTCACTTGAATGAAATCACAATTGATGTTATGAATGGAGTTGTCTAAAATGCCGGCTATACTTTTGCAGCTTTCCTATTTTTTTTTAATTTTTTTTTTTGTATCCATGAGATTCTCCAGCTTCATTTCACTTTTTAAAGGAGAACAAATCACGGAATATATTTCCCAAAACCTTGTACCTTTTGTTCTTTTGAAGAGGTGAGAATGCTGCCAGTCAGGAACAACTCCTTAAATTCGCGAGTCGCCCTTTTTGCTGTGGGCGAGAGCCGCGAAGCCGCTTCGGGCTGAGAGGGCTGTTCTGCCCGATTTGCGTGTG